CAGACTAGCAGCATCAGATCAAGCCTGAAAGTAACGCCATGTACCTATTGGTTCGTATGGTTAAAGTTCTCCTAGCTTTAAAATACCACATGTTTTTAAGGTTAAAGAAAAAATATAAGAAAGAATGATGAAAACATGAAAAGAATTATTAAATTAGGTAAGCAATGTTTCGACCCATTAAGTTGTATACATTTCTTACCTTTACCACAATTGGACCTCGTCAGTACGACGATTGTGGTAAAAAGTTTTTTTAAAAAGTAAGATGGGAGAGTAAATAAGTTAATTGTGTTATCGACCATTTCATAAATCTCAAATATTTCCGCGCAGTATTTTTTTTAAGGTGAATATTTACCGCTTCGTAACAAAAGCGTCAGTGGAGGAAGAGATTGTTGAGCGGGCAAAACGAAAACTCGTTCTGGATCATCTTGTTATTCAGGTATTTTTTTGACCAAATTTCGAAGTAATTGGTGGTACATGTGTAATCGTTGAAGATGCTTGAAGCGAAACTTAGTGGTCATTTTGCTCCTTTTTTTGTTTTTCAACTTCCCCTGCCCACGTTTTTTTCTACCTTCCCTGCCCACAAATTTTTTTCGTATAAAAAATGATAAGCGATTGCGAATATCGAAGTTTTGTAGAGGATGGACACAACCGGTCGAACAGTGCTTTCCAAGTCCACAGTAACGAACGGCTCGATGCCATTTGATAAGCACGAATTGGCGATGATTTTAAAATTTGGTGCCGAGGAGCTCTTCAAAGAGAAAGAAGGCGAGGAGCAGGAGCTGGAAGTTGATATCGACAATATTTTGCAAGGTGCCGAAACAAGGGAATGCGATCAGCAGGTCAGATTTTACAGAATTATGTGGGAATTGATTTACTTTTTTCGTATGGGATTCGAAGCCCTTTGAAAGGAGAAGGCCATCACCTTGTTTGTGTGAAACGTTTTGAAGAAGAAGCAGTTAGCAGACTTACTGATAGCTTTTCACTTTCTTCCTTTCCTCCTTCCTCTTCCTTCCCCATTAAGCACTGCGACCGTCATACTGACGAGATCCTGTCGCGGTGTTGAGTTAAGATGTATATGTCTTAATGGACCGAAACGTCTTATCTCACCCTTACCTTCTTTTCTCATACTTTTCTCTCCTTCTGTATTCTATCACCTCTTCGCCACTTAAGCTTCCAAGGTCAACCTGGATGCTACAATCGGCTTGCCGGCAGGTGGTTTTTGTTGCCACGTGATATTGTAATCCTATAATTATGCCATTTCCCTCCTCTTACTAATTCCTGATACTTCGACCTACTTTCCCCCGTCTTACTAACTTCTAACAATTCCACCAAATTC